TTATGTTCAAACAAATGAGGCAATTAGTTCAGTTTTTGTCATTTATTAAAGGTTTAAAAATTACAGCAGCTGCAGAGCGCCACAGCAATGGGACGATAAGCTGATAAAGAGTTGTAAAACAACTTCAAACCATTTATATTCTGCTTTTCCTTGCTTAGTGTCGGCACGCAAACCCGTTGATATGACAACCGACACAACATCTTCGTTAACCCGCAGAGCAGGGAGTAATATATTGACCAGAATGTCCTGCACTGTAGCTGACTTCCTGCTTTTGGAACGGTCTCTAGTCAGGTTGCATTAAGAAAGGTTTTCTACCGTTTTAGAGTTCACTTCAACCAGACCGAGACCTAGGTTTTTAGACAGGTCAGAGTTTGGTTTTTAAGTCCGTTTTGGAATTCAAATTTGCATTCGGACCTCCCCAAAAAACTCCGACTTTCTAGACAAACAGATTAGAGTCTGATTCAGGACTCTAATCCTGGGTTGGTCTGAATACACCCCAAGTCTTGTTCTCCCCACCACAGTTGAAAAATAATAAAAAATACCCATGGTTGACGTCCTTGCAAATTTCCTGTCTTGATGCATGTCTGATGGTTCTTTTGATTTCTGTTAACATTTTGAAATGATCTTGAAAACCTCAAGCCAGTTTTTTTTTTTTTTGCCAACTTTTGCCTCGTACCATTTTTAAAAAGTTTTTTCAGCTTTTCCTCTTCTTTGCTCTCTTTGTAAGGAACACCTGTCCAAAGTTACCCACACTTAGTTAAGACGGAAACTTGGCTAATGCAGAATGTCCCTCAAGTTTGTGGATTTTTCTTTTGTTCGACATTATCAGATCAAGTCTGTGTTTAAGGGTTGAAACCAGAACAAACGGCCTTAAAGGTGAGTTCTCGACTATTATTCAGGAAGGAACCTGGGTGTTATCGAGAGGCTGCTTAGGCATCTGAGGGAATCAGAGAAAGGCAGGCGGCCTTTAAGGATGATGTAATGTTTATATAGTGGTCAGTAGAGCCGTTTCCTTCTCCTCCTCCTCCCACTCCCGCAGACAGGCACAGTCAAAGGGCATCGATACCGTACAGATCAACGGGGGCATTGGCTGAGTCCCAGTGCTGCATGTTTTTCCAACAAATTTCCCAGCTAATTTGCTAATGCTAAGTGTTCTAAGACATGCACACACATATCAATTGTAGAAGAAGCTGAGACAAACAGAGCATTTACCTTGTTTTCATAAAAAAAAAAAAAAAGCCTGAATATAGAAAGACCATATAGGAGCAAAAGGATTTTGCAAAACTCTATAAACTTGACAGGAAAGAGCAGAGAGATAAAAAGCTGTTTATTTAAACTAATATTTGTATGCCATCATTTCCAGAAGTGACTGTAATTTTGTATTATTCTTAGTGTCTGATACAGCGCCAAAGCACGATGGTTTTAGATGTTGTTTTGTTTATTTAACAAGCGAAAAATGAGTGACTCCAAGGAAAAATAAAACTTTGGGAGTTGTAGCTTAAAGTGCTTTTGCATCCAAAGAGTTCATTTTACAGTTGGTATGAAAATATGAGAATGATTAAAGTATGGCATTGAGACTTTATTGTTAGATGTTGGTATGTGATCTTTTGTATGTCCAACGTAGAGTTTTATCCTGGAATTTGTTCATCCAATCACTTTATCCTAAACATTTTTAAGAAATAGATGTTTGGCTTTTTTAATCTATGATTTCTTAAAAGTATATAATCTGAGTTGAAAGGTTTAGTTGTGGCTAGTACTTAACTCGTGAAAGGAAAAAAAGCCCCCCGCTCATCCTTGCAGACTTCAGGGGGAGGCTGAGACCTATCTCCAGTGGTCATTGGACAAAATGTGGTGTATGATATCTCTCCCAAATACCTCAACAATGTAATTCCAGATAGTTCAGTTTTGTCTAGTAAATGTTGCAATACAGCCAAATTCAATAATTCATGAAATACTAATTGGAAAAAGTTACCATTAGCTGGTTTTGTTTTATAAAACATTTACCACATTAACCGACAACGACGAGCATGCCTCTTATCACCATTTCACACCACAAGGTGAAATGGTGATAACCTGCAGTTATCTTTTTAGAAATCTTACCCTCTTACTCTTGTCATGCATATGTTCTTAGGCTTGTTTTACTGTTTTAGATTCTGTGATTGCAAATCACATCATCAGTACTTCAGCTTCTAAACTGGATTTGGTCCTACACATTTTAGCTGATGCGGGACCCTGACTACTTCATTTGTGCGACTCAGGAACTATTGAGTTTTCAGCAATCTCTTAGCCAAAGCATAATAGTGTAATAGAAAATAACAACTCCCTTTTTAGCAAGAGGAAACTTCCAAGGGAGCCAGGCTCAGTATGATTTTGTGCCCATCTGTTGTGACTGGTTGGAGGCTGACGGATAGGAAGTAGTGCAGGAAAAATAATGAAGAACCAGGTCAGAGGTACTTTCTACAGGAAAGAAAAGGAAGGACACTTCTGCAAAGTAATTCAACAATAGTTTCCTATATGGCAGCATCAAGGAAAAAGTCACAGCTGAAAGTTAGGAAAAAGACTGAACAAAAGATTTTCTCCGCTATTAGTAAATTTTAATTAAAAAAATCCCTCGTTCATTATGTCATAATTATTGTCTGCGGCACTTTGATGTCTGCAATCAGAGTGAAGCTCCCATATGTAAAAAAAAAAAGGAGAAAATCTCAAATTTTTCCAGTTGATGTCACACAAACAACAAAGTTACAGTCCCACACCTCTTCTCATATAAGCTGGTCCTTGTCTCAGAGCACAAAGTTGTCAGAAGAACTTGTTTCACAGTTGGCCAAACAAATAAACTCCTGGAGCACAACAGTGTTAGAATTTAGTTTTTCAGTGAGGAGAAGATTTAAGGCCAGGCAATACCTTGATTGATGCGGCAACATTTAAAGCAAAATGTAAACTTGTGATATGGGATTCACTTGTCTTGAATGTGATTGAAACTCTGGTCTACACAAAATTTTTGTCAAATCATTTTATCCCACTAAAATAGGATAAACTATTTTAATTGTTTATTTGAAATTGGTTTATTGCTATCATAAAATATAAACCACCCACAGTAACATATCAACGCTGCAGGCTAATAATTCTCCTTCCTTTGCTTTTCTTTGCTTGGGGGAGAATGATGCAGGTTTTAGTGGTGATGCCATGTGTTTAATGTTCAGCTGCGAAGCAAACAGTCTGGAAGGCTTGTTTGAATTTTAGCTAATAATTAATATGTAATCAGCACCATGTGCTATTCCCTAAAACCAGAGCAAATCTGAAGGTGAGGTGGACACAGGAGCGTGTGAAGTTGCGGTTCCGAAGTTGTTGCATAAGACACCTAAGATGTCCTTGTACCTAATCCTTGCACATACAAGGATTCTTGTATGTGCAGGATACACATTCAAGAATCCTAATTTTTAGCTGCAATTTTCCAAATAATTTTGATGGTCTGTTCATTTTTTAGTTAGTCCACTCACAAACACAGATTTTTGTTTTTTTGCAATGGTACTTTCTCCTCAGCTATAGGGCTTGGGGTTTCTTCTACCAAGCAAAAGATTTATTATTTTTTTTGGAAGCTTGATGTATGTCTTTAGTATTTCTATTAAACTTTTAACATGTCTCCTTTATTGTTTTTTTTTTGTTTGTTTTGATTATCCAAAATTAAAAGTATTGTTCAATAAATTTTGGTGATGAATCAAAATCAATTTATCTGGAAACAATTTTTAAACATAAAACTGGCAAGCTATGTGACACTAATTGTTACTTTTATGTCAAACATTCAAGTAAAAAAAAAGTCTTCTGGTTCAGTCTAGCTGATGTTTGATTATTTAATATGTAACTGATTATCGGCATGTTATATTACTTTTCCCATTATTTTTATTAATCAAATTATTCACCAGAAATATGCAAAAAGATAAAATATAGTTACGTACATTACATATATAATAGATGGAAAGTTAACTTGATTGGCAGTGATGATTTTAATTTATTTTTCCTCTCATCCATTTTTGTTTGCCCTTACTGAACCCCTCTCAATTGTTTGACAAGATGATATAAATTAAATTAAAATAGATCATCTTACTCTACAAATTAGCCTATATGCTGATAATGTACTGTTCTTCTTGATTCTGGATATTTTATAACAAATGTTTAAGAATAAAATTGGCTAAATTTCAAAATGTCTAAAGTATTACCTCTGTATTAATTATGTTTGTTTTTTTATATATATATTATACACTTGGTCATGTTGGATAGTAGAATAGGTAACTGTTTTCCAGCTTCACATAGTTTCCTCTTGATTAAAAGAATAAAATTATATACCAGAAATATGCGAGGAGGACTGGTACCTAACTTATAAAACAATATCTACACTTAAATCCCAAAAGATAATTAAGAGAGGTTACATTGCCGAGGATTTTTTTTGTTCTGCATTTGGTCAACGTGATGAAAAATGTCGTGTCCATATAAAAGTAGAAGATCTACAGTTACAAACATATAATCTAGAGGAAACTGATGAAATATATGTAATTCAGTTTTTTAGTATTTGTTGTTGTGCTTTGGGCAGGAGTTGTAAAGTTATTCGTCTCACTGTAACATTGAATAAGTGGTTTGATTTAAAGTTGATGGTCTCTTTTTTAACGAAATGCTGCCCCCTCGTGGTAAAAGTTGCCTCACTGTGTTTTTTTTTCTCCTGTCTTTTATTGCAGAACATTCAGGCTGAGACAAGTAAGTACAACTTTTTCTCATGTTTTGGTGTCAACTGCTTGCTCTTTTTCTTCCTATTTATTGTCTCAAAATTTCACTTGCAGCACATTATTGGGGTTTAATCTGCTATCTTTATTAATCATGTCACACCTGTTAACACCCAAATTCTTAAAATGCTCTTAAAACACCTTTTCACTGCTTCACTTGTGCTTTTATTTACTGTTGCTTTTCTTCTTGTGCTCATCTTTTTTGCTTTATCAATTGGAAAAATATAGATACAACCACAGTAACAACTCTAGCTGCAACCACCACAACTACCGCAACTACATCTGCAGCTACTACCACGGCAACACTTTCTCCTACAACCACAACAGTTGTTGGTGCAGATGTTAGCACAGCAACAGCTGCACCAACAACTTTGACCACTGCACCAGCAACTTTCACAACTGCACCAGCAACTTTCACCACTGCACCAGCAACTTTCACCACTGCACCAGCAACTTTCACCACTGCACCAGCAACTTCAACCACTGCAGCAACAACTTTAACTGCTACACCAACAACTTTAACCGCTTCACCAGCACCTTTAACCACTGCACCAGCAACTTCAACCGCTGCACCAGCAACTTCAACCGCTGCATCAGCAACTTCAACCGCTGCACTAGCAACTTCAACCGCTGCATTAGCAACTTCAACCACTGCACTAGCAACTTCAACCACTGCACCAACTTCAACCGCTGCACTAGCAACTTCAACCGCTGCATCAGCAACTTCAACCACTGCACTAGCAACTTCAACCGCTGCATCAGCAACTTCAACCACTGCACCAACTTCAACCGCTGCACCAACAACTCCAGCCGCTGCACCAACAACTCCAGCCGCTGCACTAGCAACTTCAACCACTGCACTAGCAACTTCAACCACTGCACTAGCAACTTTAACCACTGCACCAGCAACTTCAACCACTGCACTAGCAACTTTAACCACTGCACCAGCAACTTCAACCACTGCACTAGCAACTTTAACCACTGCACCAGCAACTTTAACCACTGCACCAACAACTTCAGTCACTGCACTAGCAACTTTAACCACTGCACCAACAACTTCAACTGCTGCATCAGCAACTTCAACCACTGCACTGGCAACATCAAACACTGCACCAACAATAACAGCAACCACAATAACAGCTGCCCCTACAACCACATTAACCACAATAACTGACATCTCTACAACCATGACAGCTGAACCATCAACAATGACAGCTGAAACATCAACCATGACAGCTGAACCATCAACAATGACAGCTGAACCATCAACAATGACAGCTGAACCAACAACCACGACAGCTGAACCAACAACTACAATTAAGGGTGTGTTAACATCTAATGGTAACTAGCGTGAGCCCCTAAATTGACATCTGTCCTCATGACACAGTTCAAAATAACCATAACCTGGTTACTTTGTTCTGTGTCATGCCCTGAAGAAGTACTGCATTTTTTATCTTTTTTTCTAACAGTTATATTTCTGAATGTACAGTCCTGATTAAATAAGTGCTATTATGTTAAGATAGAGAATAATAAGATAGACATAATATGAACTGTTATTGTGACTTTTCTTTGGTTCACAGCACCTGGAAATGTGGCGAATCTCAGTGTGGAAAGTGTCACAACATCCTCTGTGAAAGTGACCTGGAGCAAAATGGATAATGCAAGCTACCGAGTATACTGGACAAAAGGAGAAATTACAAAAAATGAAACAGTAACACAAAACTTCAAAAACATCACAGGACTAGATCCTGGGGTTCAGTACAATATAAGTGTTACTGCTGTTGCATCTGATAATGTCACTGAAGGAACGCCTGACACGACGTCTGCCTACACAAGTAAGTCAACCTTTATGTTTGTCTTTAACGTGTGCAAAAAGGTGAAACGGTAAATGCAGTGGAATTTTTTTGTGATTGATTATAAATGTTGCAGAAGTAGCAAACTGAATAGTAAAATTGAATAATAACTGAACTTTAGTGTGCTTACACTGCTCTCTGTCATGAACAGAACCTGAAGCAGTGATCAGTCTTGCTGTCACTGGTATAACAACAACCTCTGTGTCTTTGAGCTGGACTAAACCTCAGGGGAAAAGACTGATTTATACAGTAAAGTGGGAAAATGATAACAAAGATTTGAGTGCAAATGAGACTCAGGCGACTGTGACTGATCTGACTCCTGGAGAGATCTACTGTTTTAATGTCACAGCTGTGGCTGGAGACAACAAAACAGAGAGTGATGAGAGAATCATTTGTCAATATACAAGTAAGATAATGAGCCTGCTTTCAATTGTCACACCTTGAGGAGTTTGTGCTTCATTCTTTGGTTTTCAAATGTTTGCAACATACTGATTTCTGCTCACAGAGCCTGAAGTAGTCACAGATCTCAATTTGTTTGATGTAACAACATCATCTCTATTTGTGAACTGGACCAAACCAATGGGAAGCAGCTCTTTCTATAGAGTTCAATGGGAAGGTGGACAAAAACATGTCCAAAAAAATGTGTCTGAGACATTTCTGACCATTTCTGATCTGACTGCTGGTGAGCAGTATAAAATATCTGTCACTGCTGTAGCTGCTGATAATGTCACTGAAGGAGAGAACAGGACTACTTCGAAATACACAAGTAAGTGAGCCTCAGTCGTTGGCATGGATTGATGAATGGACTGATTAACTGGCTGGATGGATGTAATATTTTATAGACGACAAGAAATAATGTCAGAAATCAAACATTTTTCCCATCTTTTTGTCTTTCCAAA